TGTTAGTAATAAGTTTTCCCCACTTGAAGAATGGTCCCACTGAGCTCATTAAGACATGTGGCTGTATGTGAGGTAAGACTTTGTTCAGTCTGAGAAGTCTAAAGGGCAAAAGGAAACCAAAGTGGCAGAATGTAGGATTATAAATATAAGTCTATTTGATTCTGAAGTTTCTCTTTGCGCCTGTCCTCTGCTCCCTCAATGTCAGCATGCCCCTTCACTTCTCACACAATAATAGCACCCTGAGGGGCGCCTGGGTGGCTCAGTCGTTAGGCGTCTGCCTTTGGCTCAGGTCATGATCCCAGAGTCCTGGGATCGGCCCCGCATCAAGCCCCACTTTGGGCTCCCTGCTCGGTGGGAAGCTCACTTCTCCCTCTCCCACTCCCCCTGCTTGTGTTCCCTCTCTCACTGTGTCTCTGTCAAATAAATTAATAAAATCCTCAAAAAAATAATAGCACCCTGAATTTATGTTGCACTTTTTCATTATAATGCCTTTGAATTTCATTATTTCCCTTTATTTTTTAAAGGCTTTAGTAGGGAAAAAGAAGAGCATTCCTTTCTGAGGCCAAGACTGGTTAAAGTGAAATGCCTCTCACTGCAAACCAGGTGGAATGGAGTGTTAGCCCAGGATTTAGACACACAAGTGCCAGGCATTTTCATTTTCCCAGTCAGAGCTCCTAGTCTTAAATTATCAGAGGCAATTTTACAGAGTCTTTGAGATTGTGGGATCTAACCCTCATTTCTCTTCACATTAGCTTGGTGTAGCAGCCTTTTCTTTCTGTATTTTCTCTTCTTAATGGTTTCTTCCTCCTGACATTTAAACATGTTTAATTATCTCATTAAAAAAAAAAAATCTTCTCTCCAGGCGCCAGCCTTTTGGTCTTTCCCTGCATGTCCTTGAGAATTGTACACAAGATTCTGAAGGGTTTAAACTTTACCTCTGGTGGAAATTGAAGTGAGGTAGTAACTGTTGCTAGATTAAGAAAATGCTTGGAATTGTTCAGCTAGCCATAGGAGTCCCCAAGGCAGTACTCAGAGCACTCTGGGACCAGCTTGGGAGCTGTTTGCCCAGGTCCTCAGCCAGATAAATGCAGAAATTCAGAATAAGCATTTAGGAACTTTTATAGTAATTTGACAGAATAATCTATGTCTGCTGAACTTAATGAAAACTCTGGAGTTAAAAATAAAAATCTTCCCTAGGCTTCATCTGCCTGGCAACCTCCTCATGCTACTCCTGGGTTAGTGCCAGCATTTCCTACTGGTGCCTTCTGTGGTGTCCCATGCAGTTTTGGGTGCTCCATTACAGCAATTACCGAATTTTAACAATTGAAGTTCCTTGAAGACAGTGTCGACTTTTGAACATAGGATACCCAGTCAATAGCAAAATACATGTTCTAAAGTAGAATCTCAACAATTTTTTGTTGTTTTTGGAATTAGCATTTTTGAAACTAGACCAACCAGGCTCACTTTTGAGCTAATTAAATGCTGTTTCACCTTGAACACACTTAATATACATTCTGTGAGCTCCATTGACTCTAGGAAGGTTGTGTAGCTCAGTAGTTCAAAGGACGCATTCTGCAGTCATGCTTCCTGGGTTGGAATCCTGGCTTTGTTAGTTACTAGCTGTACAACTGTAGTTATGCCAATTAACTTCTTTTGCAGAATGGGAATAAAACAAGCTACTACTTCAGAAGGTTGTTGGTATTAAATGAGATAATACACGGAAATTACTTACTGCATAAGTACATTTTCAAAAAATGTCAGTGCCTGAATTAATTCTCTGTCACTGCTGTAACAAATTACCATAAACTTAGCTGCTTTGAACAACATAAATTTACTTTCTCATATTTCTGTAGGCCAGAAGTCCAGGTAGGCTTGACTAGTTTCTCTGCTCTGAGTTTCACAAAGCTAAAATCAAGCGGTTGGCTCTGGGTTCATCTTTAAAGGCCCTGGAAAGAATCTGCTTCCAAGCTCATTCAGGTTTTTGATAAACTTCAGTTTCATGAGATTGTAGAACTGAGGTCTCTGTTTCCTTGCTAGCTTTCAGCTGGAGGTTGTCCTTTGCTCCTAGAGGCCTTTCTCCAGTTCTTGCACGGGCCTCTACATCTCAGAACGAGCAATGGCACATCAAATCCTTCTTACCCTTAGAATCTCTCCGACTTCTCCTTTTGCCAGCTACCCTCTGCTTCCTCTTGTGCCACCTCCTTCTGATTGCAACTGGAGAAAGTTTTCTGATTTAAAGGATTCATGGAATAAGATTCCATTTCCCTCCCCACCCATAATCCAAGACAATTTCAAAATCCCTAACCTTAACTACATCTGCATAACTTTTTGCCATGTAATTTAACATATTTGCAGGTTCCAGGGATCAGGTCATGGACATCTTTATGAGGCCATTCTGCCTACCATAATGCCCTTCTCGTATCTCTATTGGAAGATAGATAGGATGGATTCAGATATATGTGTAAGGCCCTTAGTATAGGCGGGTTCCCCTTAGCTCTGGAGAAACTTTGCACTCCAGAACTTTCACCTGAGTCCCTCTAGTCATAAGTATCTGCCTTGTAAAGGGTTCCTCCTTGTGGGAAAACAAACAAATACCACTGATGTTCTAGGAAAGCTGCATATCCTCTGAAGGTTCCTATCTCAATGTGTGAAGCAAACATCTCCTTCGGGCCCTGGAGTCAGTTCCTATTGTTATCTATCCTTATTATACACTGCTGTCCTTAACATTTGGTACAGCTGTAATTTGTTTTAAATTTAGAGACTTTGCAGAAAAGTATATGGAATATTAGGGCAAGTACTCATGTCCACATAACTCAGAATTTCACATTTGAAATTCATTGTATAATTAGCTTTTGTGTAGTTATCCACTGTCTGGAGGCTTTCACTTAGCATAGTATTTTCAAGGTTCATCTACACTGTAGCAGGTACCAGTACTTCATTCCTTTGTATGGCTGAATAATATTCCATTCTATATGTATCAAATTTTGTGTAACCATTCATCAGTTGATGGACATTTAGATTTGTTTCTACTTGTGGGCTATTATGAACATTCATGTACAAGTTTTTGAGTGAAGATGTATTTTTTAAAGGTTTTATTTTTTAAGAGCACTTTTTGACAGGACATTACAGAGATCTCTTTTATACTCCCTGCCTCCACACATGCATATCATCATCACTCACCTATTATCATCACTCACCATAATGGTACATTTTGAAAAAGATTTATTTATTTATTTTAGAGAGAGAGTGGGGGGCAGAGGGAGAGGAGAGAGAGAATCTCCAGCAGACTCCCCACTGAGTGCAGAGCCCGACATGAGGCTTGATCCCACAACCCTGAGATCATGACCTGAGCTGAAACCAAGAGTTGGATGCTCAATCAACTGAGCCACCCAGGCTCCCCCATAATGGTACATTTTTACCAAGGATGAACCTACATTGACACATCATAATCACCCAAAATCCATAGTTTACCTTACGGTTCACTCTTGGTATTGTACATTCTATGGGTTTGGACAAAAGTATGATGACCTATATCCATTAATTATAATATCATAGAATATTTTTATTGCCCTAAAAATCCTCTATGTTCTGCCTATTCATCTCTGCCACACCCCAACCCTGATAATCTTTTTATTGTCTCCATTGTTTTGGACTTTTTGAGAATGTCATACAGTTGGAATCATACAGAATGTAGCCTTTTCAGATTGCCTTCCTTCACTTGGTAATATGCATTTAAGGTTCCTCCATGTCTTTTCATGGCTTCTTTTTAGCCCTAAGTAATATTCCAGTGTCTGGATGTACCACAGTTTATCCATTCACCTACTGAAGGACATCTTAATTACTTCCAAGTTTTGACAATTTGATTCCAATTTCTCCATAACCTTGTCAACATCTTTGATTTTCCATTTTTAAAAATTATAGCCATCCTAGAGGCACTTTGCTGGCTCAGTCAGTTAAGCATGTGACTCTTGATCTTGGGGTTATGAGCTTGAGCCCCATGTTGGATGTAGAGATTACTTCAAAATAAAATCTTTTAAAAAAATTATAGTCATCCTAATGGATGTGAAGTGGTATCTCATTATGATTTTGATTTCATTACCCTAATGACTAATGATGTTGAGCATCTTCTCACGTAGGTATCGGCCATTTGTATATCTTCTCTGGAGAAATATTTTTTCAAATTGTTAGCCTATTTTTTTTTAATTTTATTTATTTATTTATTTTTAATGTAATTTATTTTTTTTTAAAGATTTTATTTATTTATTTATTTGACAGAGAGAGAGAGAGAGACAGCGAGAGAGGGAACACAAGCAGGGGGAGTGGGAGAGGGAGAAGCAGGCTCCCCGCAGAGCAGGGAGCCTGATGCAGGACTCTATCCCAGGACCCTGGGATCATGACCTGAGCCAAAGGCAGTCGCTTAACCAACTGAGCCATCCAGGCGCCCCTGTTAGCCTATTTTTAATTGAGGTTATTTGTCTTTTTATTGTTCAGTTGTAACAGTTCTTCACATACTCTAGGTAGTGTACCCTTACCAAAGAGATGATTTGCAAATATTTTCTCCCATTTTTAGGTTGTCTTTTTACTTTTTTTTATTGTAAGGAAAATGTATAGCAAAACATCTGGAAGGTAGTGGGGGTGGAAGATCTGGAAAAACTTAATCACCAAACAAGCTGCCTAAACATGGCTTCCTGCTGTGGAGGAGAGATTTGGCCCTTATTTTTCCCACATTTCCTGATTCAAAGAAACCTGCTCTTAGCAGGGCTGGGCCTACGGATTTTCCAGACTGTTCTCTTCTTGGTAATTTGGGAAAGGTTGTACAGTTCTCAGGCTTTCAAGATACAAAAGACAGTATGGAGAAGGAAAGGATGTTACAGCCCTTTGGTCTGGTGTCATCCCCAGCCCCAACTCTCAGTATTTGTTGATGCCAAAGAGATGACCCCATGGAATTGGGGCAAATTAGGCAGCAGTACATTGAGCAATGAGGCTGTGTTGATGAGGAAATGAGCAATATCACACTTGCTGTAGAAGCTGACCAGGATGTAGGAGAGATGCTGAGGAATTTGTGGGAAGAGGTAAATTGGAGCCTGTAGTCCATCTGTTCCCAGCATGTCAGTAGCTGAGCCTTTCCTTGGTCGGGGTCTCAAAGGATGACCCTTTCACTATATGTAAGAAGACATAGATAGCCTGCTGGCTTCAGAAGCCCTTCTGACTTGAGGTGTGGCACTTGTTTCTACACCTGTGGTCTCCAGGAAGCAGCTACCTGTCTTTTTTTACTTTTTTGATAGTGTCTTTTGATCTACAAATTTTTTGATGAAGTCCAATTTATCTTTATTGTTTCTTTTGGTTGTTTGTGGTTTAAAGGTCATCTCTATGAAACCATTGTTTACTCCAAGGTCAGATTTATACCTATGTTTTCTTCTAAAAGGTTTCAGAGGGGCACCTGGGTGGCTCAGTCATTAAGCGTCTGCCTTTGGCTCAGGTCATTGATCCCAGGGTCCTGGGATCGAGCCCCGCATCGGGCTCTCTGCTCCGCGGAAAGTCTGCTTCTCCCTCTCCCACTCCCCTTGCTTGTGTTCCCTCTCTCGCTGTGTATCTCTCTCTATCAAATAAATAAATAAAATCTTAAAAAAATAAAAGGTTTTAGAGTTTTAGTTCTTACCTTTAGGTACTCTGGGGCTAATTTTTGTATATGGTGTGAGATAGGGATCCAAATTCATTTTTTTCCATTTCTGCCTATTCACCTTTGATCTTATTCTGATGTTTCACTCTTTCCTGAATTCTTGCATTTTTGCTTTGTGACCTTCCATCTTAGAGGCAATTAATTTTTTCCCATTCATGACAAAATACTTAGTTATAAGTTTTATCTAATCCATTGTAGCAGTTTTCTACTGAATGCTCTTCATATATTCATTTTTTGTTTACTCTTTTCCTTCATAGTTCTTTTTGGATTAATATAGTACTATTTCCTTTTTTTTTTTTTTTTGCACATCATTGTCTGAGTTAGAACATTAGCAGCTCTGCTTCCTCTACTTTTGCCCCCCAGTTTCTTCCAGTTGTAGTTACAAGTAGGAGTATAGATTCTCACCTGGTGGTGGGTCTCTCACCTTTAGGAAATTTTATTTTCTTGGTGTTTTTTTAGATGTGCCTCTGTTTGTCCCTCTTTCTGCTCATAATTCTCTCCATAGTTTCTTATTTCCAATTCTTTTGTCATAATTGCCACTGATTTCACTGCTTTTCTCAGCCCTTACATGTAATTTGTTATCTATAGATTATACTTATCTCCTGGTTCTACTGAAGTTGTGTTTGCAAAGATCTTTTCGTTCTCCTTATTGCTTTTAGGTGATTTTCAGAACAGAAGGCCTTGGAAATAATGATACTTTAACGTTTCTAGGTTTTTACATTTTAGATTTGTCCTTATTAACAGCATGCAACTATATTTTATTCATTTAAAAGATCTAACTGAAAATTTGTCTTCTAATGGGTTTAGTCTGTATTTGTTATTATCATGACATATTTAGACTTGTTTCTCTCATTCTATTTCTATTTATCATACCTCTTTTTTTCTTGTTATGTTTCATCATAGAAGGAAATACATATTGTATTTCCTTTATTCTTATGTATACATATGTATGTATATGTATTTCCTTTATTCTTATCCCTTCCTTCAACTGGCTAAATCATACATTCTGTTTGTTTCTTTCTTTTTGGTAGTTTCCTTAGAATTTTTTTCAATTTTAAAATCTAATTTGCTTTATTAAGCAAGTCATGAATTGAGCAGCATCCCTTCTAGCAAGTAGAGGGTAGATTTCTTCCTTAGCACTTTTTTTCTAAGTAAGCTCTACAACCAATGTGGGGCTTGAACTCACAACCTTGAGATCAAGAGCTGCATGCTCTACTGACTGAGCCTGCCAGGGGCCCCTATTCCTTAGCCTCTTTTTTGTTTTGAGAGAGAGGGAGAGAGTGCAGTGGGAAGGGACAGAGGGAGAAGGAGAGAAAGAATCTCAAGAAGGTTCCATGCTCAGTGTAGAGCCCAGAGCCTGACATGGGGCTTGATCTCACGACCCTGACATGACCTGAGCCAAAATCAAGAGTCCAATACTTAACCTACTGAGCCACCCAGGTGCCCCTAGGATTTTTTTTAAGAGACTGTGCATGCACACAAGCAAGTGGGGGAGGGGCAAAAAGAGAGAGAGAGAATCCCAAGCAGGCTCCACACCCAGTGCAGAGCCTGAGGTGGGGCTCGATCTCATGGCCCTGAGATCATGACCTGAGCCAAAATGAAGTCAGGCATTTAACTGACTGAGCCATCCAAGTGACCCAACCCCTAGAATTTTTAATATACACATATAACAGGATATTAAATGTGAATTTCAGTATGCTGGGAATTTCATTAGAGAACAACAAATGTCAGATAAATTATGCAGAGCATGCTAAGAGTGTGGAAGAGATTTTTGTGACCCTTAGCTCATTGGCCTCTCAGGTCTAGATTTTATATGATGATTTCTTTAGAGAGAATTGGTATGCTCTGTGGTGTATCTCCTTCCCTCTTGCTCCTTTTCCTTCTCTCTCTCCCCCCACCCCAATAAATAAAAAATCTTAAAAAAAAAAAAGAAGTTCCCTTTTACTCCTTCTCAGGAATCTCCCAATCTCTCAGCCCCAGGTAATGACTGATTTGCTCTGTCCCTATGGGTTAGATGACTCTTTTCTAGAATTTTATAAAATTGGAATCATATAGTATGTGCTCTTTGGTGTCTGGCTTCTCCTCACTATAATGTTTTTGAGATTCATCCATGTTTTTGCAAGTGTCAGTAGTTCATTGTCACTCCGATCTTTCTGAAATAAGAGAGTTTCTTCTGTTTCTAATACGCTCTCTTTTCCTGTTGTTCCCTCTCTCAATTCCCTTGATTTCCAGTCTAACATCAGATGTTGTGATTAAGTCATTTTTACCTTCCACAGGTTCTGTAATCCATGATGTCTATAAAGAACTGGAACATTACAAAGATGTCACCTTCACCAAGACTTATTCCTCAGTGGAAGGACTTGAAATTCCTCATAAATAATACCCTGAAGGATATAAAGGTGATGTGTATAAGAGATATGCACATAGTGGGCTTGTACTAAATATCCCTGCCAAGGCAGCCTGTGGCATGGGTAACATGTGAGCATGTTCTTTGGAAGAGCCCTCCCATACCCATAAACAACTCTTCCTTCTAGATTCAGATGGTAACAATTATAATTAAAAGACATTCTGCTGCAAAAAACCCCAAAAAACAAAACAAAACAAAAAAACCAAAACAGAAAACGGACTCACATGGATTAAACAAGCAGGAGGTGCCTTTGTCTTACATGTTGTCAAGGACCCATGTTCTTTTTCTTTCTTTTCACACCATCCTTAATATTTTAGTTTATCAGGGTGCCTGGGTGGCTCAGTCGTTGAGCGTCTGCCTTTGGCTCAGGTCATGATCTCAGGGTCCTGGGATCGAGCCCCGCATCGGGCTCCTTGCTCTGCGGGAAGCCTGCTTCTCCCTCTCCCGCTCCCCCTGCTTGTGTTCCCTCTCTCGCTGTCTCTCTCTCTGTCAAAAAAAAAAAAAAAATCTTTAAAAAAATTTTTTAAAAATATTTTAGTTTATCATCTTAAGGTTACAAGATAGTTCCTGCACTTCCAGGTACCAGCTTTATTGCAAGTAGGTAGAAGAGAGGAAAAGGCCAGAAAGTACAGAGCTGTGCCAGCCTTGGAGTACCACAGTGCCACTCTATATTGCCAGAATCTCTCGGTCCATGATCATCCTAAACAAGATCTGAGTTTTATTGGGATGGAAGGAGGGGGATGAGGAAGGAGGGGGATTGATATAGAGTTGGCAATAGTACTTCCAGGCACAGATACATGGCTTGGGTTTAAGATGGTCTTAGTCTTTTATTTTATTTTTTATTTTTTATTTTTTTATTATTTTTTTATTTTTAGAGATTTTATTTATTTATTTGAGAGAGAGAATGAGAGAGAGCACATGAGAGTGGGGAGGGTCAGAGGGAGAAGCAGACTCCCTGCCGAGCAGGGAGCCCGATGCGGGACTCGATCCAGGGACTCCAGGATCATGACCTGAGCCGAAGACAGTCGCTTAACCAACTGAGCCACCCAGGCGCCCTAGTCTTAGTCTTTTAGAGTCTTCCTGAGAAAAGCATTGATACTGTTGAGTAAGTGAGCGAACTGTGTGTGCATAAAGTCTGGAAAGGAGAAGAGGAATGGTGATTAATGGAATAAAGGGTATGTAAATGACTTTTCAGATTCAATGAAGAGGGATGGGAGATTAAGAGCTCAGATACCAGTGTCCTTTCTCTCAACTCTGCTGCCGTCACTGAACCAGCAATGACAGTGGAAGTTCTCTGTATTCTGTATTCTCTCAGTATACACAAAGATCTGAATATGAGAAATAGAAAGAGAAGAGAGATTGTAACTTGCAGATAATGGCCTCAGTATAGTCTCAAATCCTTTGTGGATGCAGAGAAACTCGGAGAGTTAGAGTCATGGAGCACTGTTCAAGACACAGTGTAGCACAAGCATCTGCTGAGATGAGGGACCTCAAAAGTAGATTTTACGAGCCTCAGTTTTGGCTAATTAGTATGAGGAAGTTCATGTATTTACATCCTAGATATATACTATGTCACAAGAAGATAGTGTGTGTTGTACATATCCTACTGTGTATCATGTTAAAAGGCATATATCTCCCTTAATACAACACACACACACACACACACACACACACACCCCCACTGGGTCAGAACACAGAATGTTAGAGCTGAAGCACAGTTAACTCCATGTTGTGAATAGCACACATTTTCCTTGGATGCAAATAAGAATAGTGAAAGGTGCATGCCAAAGGGTCTAGCTCTAATGCCCACATGGTGGGCATTCTATGTCTGTGAAGTATGAGTTTCCCATAGGCAGTCATAGGCAGTGTATCATGAAGTGTGATGGTGACAGGACTGGTCCTTTGTCTATAGGCAGGAGCTTTGAAGAGTTGTTCCAACTGTGACAGGTGGGAGATATTTGCCAAGGTTGGATTCCTCTGTCATACTCATATAGGATTGTATTCCTTTCTTTTGAAGTACTTATTTGTTTTGTACAGACAGACATTTGTTAGTTGTTTATATAATGCCTGTTTCCCCCACTGGACTCTTATCTTCTGAAAACTAAGGCCATGTCTCTTTTACTCAGCATCATATCCCTATGTTCCCATAGAACATATCAGCCTTTCTCAAATTTTCCTCATCTAAACCATGGAAAACAAAATTATTTGAGGGGCTATTTTCTTACTTCTCTTAAGGATGGTACATAACTAGTAGCATTCTAGATGCATAGGGGAGAAATTAATGCCTTATGTAAAATTGATACTTTAGGATATTAGGGCTTACTTCTTATGGAAACTTGGTTGAGAAAGGCTGGGAGGTACTTTGAATTAAGATGTGGGTGAGGGTGAGGGAGAGATGACTCCCCCAAATAGTACTTTCCAGTAGTAGGGTGAATAAATGTTGGTTAGCTAAAAAACAACAGATGTCCACTAATCCTCAATAAATATTTACCAAATGAATGAGTGAGTGGGTACTCAGGCCTTTTAGCTCAGGCCACTCTTCTCTCTCAGGCTGATGAAAAACCAAAGAATGATGTGATTGTATTGAGTGACTGGCCTAAGACTCTATACCAGGAGCCTCACCATCCCCAGAGCAAGCCTTTCATCTCTTTCTATGCCATCGATGTCAACTATTTTGTGTCCTTAAACTGGGTGGAACCACATTCAAAACAAATACAGGTAAAGCAACCTCATTTTTTTTTCCTTCTTAATTCACTTTACAAGCATCATACCTCAACTGCCCTCATATCAGGATGATGAGATTGATTCTGAGTTAGCTCATTTTAATATCCATCTCCATAACCCAGTCTGACCTGGATGCAGTGATCTTTTTTCACCTCTAGTCATCAGGTCCAGAGAATTCATATTCCCCAGAAAGCAGACTGAAGGCCAAAGAAAGAGCCTTAATCCTTGTGTTTCTATTACATACCCGAATCCCAGTACCAGGAAACTCCCCAAATCAAGCTGTTCAGTCTTTCCTTAGTCTTACAGGAGGGAACAGGTATCTAAACATTCAACCCTTCCTACCCCTCACTCTTGGGAGATAATCTGCCTCCATGGTCAGGTTTTCATTTCTCATCCTCTTCCAGGCAGTACTTTGGGTACAGAAGAAAGATACAGAAATGGGAGGAATGATAGAGAAGATGAAGTTTCCTGTGATGGATCAAGTGCCACCCATTGAAGCAATGGTCCACACAGGTTCCTACCACATGTTAATTGCTTACTGTGGTGACATGCGCCTGCGGCTCTTCGGAGATCACCATCAAGCATTCATATCTCTGGGCACAGTGCCCTGTCGTTTCTCCATCAGCTGCCTCTGCTATGACTCAGAAGCTGAGATACTGCTCTCTGGTACCCCGGGGGCTGTGGTTACCTGGCTTATCTTACCAAACGGCAGGGGCCTCCAGATGGCACAAACAGTGCTCATGTCTGATCATGAGTTTGTACAGGGCTTTTCCCTGAACGGCCCCCAGGGCTCCCTCCTGGCTCTTTGTGAGAATAAGGTAAGGGTCTTCACCCACCAGGGTCAGGGCCAGCTGAAAGAGGTAAAAAAGTTCACTCCCACAGCCAGTGGCTCTTCTATCACCTGTTCCTTCACTTGTGTCTCTCAGGGCTATTTCTATGCTGGAAACAAGGATGGAGAGATCCATGCTTGGGGTCTAGACCAGGGTAACTTCCTCCACAGCTTCCAAGCCCATTCTTCATCAGTGATATGTGTTTACAGCCGGCCAGAGACCTACACCTTACTAACAGCAGGCCGAGAAGGCATTATAAGGGAATGGAATCTTGCCTTTGGGAACTTGCTGCGGCAGCTGGATATTGATGAGGATTTGCAGCAACTGCAGTTTATTGATAACACCACTTTTTTCTGCCAGACTACCCACACTTTCTCATTGCACCACCTACCATATTTTTATAGCCTCTTCAATGTCTGTGGTTCTGCTCCTGAGCAGGTGCAGCGGGTCTGCTGTGGCCGTAATTGGACTCGGATCCTGTGTGCTACTAAGGATGGTTTATTGCGCTTCTTGTCTCCAGTAACAGGAGATCTCCTGGTTATCACCTGGCCTCTACTTGTCATGGATAAGGCCGTAGCTTGGGCCTATGACTCAGACAAAGAAGAGCTCTTTGTGGCAACAGGCAGTTCAGAGGTGCTGGTGTTTGATGCAACGCGCTCTCCTTGCATGGCCAAGTATCTGGTATGCACTTCAGTAAACTCTGGGGATAAAGTAAGGTGCCTGGCCTATGGGCAGTCCCATTTGGGTATGGGCCTAGTAGGATTGATGTTCTGTGGGCATGACAGTGGCATTGTGAGAATCCTCTCCCACTATAGCTGTGCTCGAATAGAAAAGACTGTTCACTCTGGGGCAGTGTTGGCACTGTCTACCCTAGAAGGTCCTCAGGAAATCTCCTTACTCTGTTCCTATGGCATGGATAATACTATACACCTGACAGAAGCTGTGATTCAGAAAAACAAGGTAATCCTGCAGCCCATAAGCAAAATTCTCTGTGCTTGCCCCCTAACACACGTGATCCTCTTGCCAGGTTCTGTGGGTGCCATCACTGAGAACCACTGCTGGCGTCTCTGGCACTACCAAGATTTTCTGAAATCTTCAGAATCAAAACAAAGGTCTGTTAGAGACAAAGAGACAAAATGCCTGCACCAGTGTGACATCACTTCATTTGATGTCTGCTCTTCCCTGAAACTTTTTGTCACAGGGGGCACTGATGGCTCAGTCCGGATCTGGGATTTCCATGGTAGACTCATAACTGAGTTGGATTCAGCATTGCATTTTGGCCCACTCTGCTTTGCCAATAATCGGGGTGACCTGCTTTTGACTTTCAACCAGAGTCTTTACCTGGTATCCTGCTTAAAATTGCTCCCTCCGGCTCAGCTGATTCACCTAGCTATCCTAAGCAGTGCAGACGATATACAAGAAGTCCCTAAACCCTTCCTGCCTAGCTTCTTCTTTTCTTTTGAAAGAGTATTTGTACCCAAATTTGTCTACCTTGGACAAGGGCTGCAGGAATTACAGGGACTAGAGGCCCTTGTTAACAAACGGGTCATTGCCTTTGACAATACTGTGCCGCATGTTGTAGAGGAAGAGAGACATATGTCCACTCTGATTCATGTGGAACCCAAATCACACTTTTGGGAGGATAAGAATATTGCTTTTGACCCCAAGCATAATCATCCCCAACACTTGGTTCCTGCTCAGTTACAGCTTGCTGGCTGGGATGGATTGAACCCCTACCATATATTATGTTGCTCCTTTGGTAAAGGGCGGCAATGGCCCTTTGCTCCTGATGGCTACATCCCCAACTCAGTTATCCGTGCCCGCCTTTGGCCTGATGGCACCCCAATCTTCTTACGCTATGATCTGTACCAAGATAAAGACTGGGACATGACCAAACTCATCAGATGCCAGACACTGTCACCTATGCCTGTACTAGAAGAGAACATCTCAATGAGAAGAGAGAGGGATAAATCCAAGAAGTGGAAACGAACTTTCTATGATGTTCTAGTAAGCATAATGAACCGAAATTGGACAGGAAGAACATTTGATGAAGGAATTATAAATAATTTAATCGAGGCCATCCTCAACCTCACAATTTACTGTTCTATAGATCAATACAAGACATATATTAGTGTCCTGGCACAAATTTTTGCCACTTACCAGGTATCTCCAAGATTGTGCTCTGAGGCTGCCTGTCGCCTAATGGAAGATACAGTTCATCCCAATCCATGCATCCGTGAGCTAGCCTGGGAGGGGTTGGAGAGGCTAGGTGTCCTGAGCCATCTCTTTGCTGTGCCACTGGCTATGGGATTGATGGACAGTGATGAAAATGTGAGGGCTAAGGCCTTATACCTTATGATAAGAGTCACAGGCATCCAAACTAAGACTATGCTGGTAGGCCTGCTGAAGAAACGAGACACGTTTCAAGAAATGCAGTAAGTTGGGTAGTGGCTTTCCCCCTTCTGTTTCTTCTAGTTCCTAACCTTTTTCTCTTATTCTCTTTTTATACAACTTATTCCCTTTTTACACAACTGTCTTTCTATTCTTCCCCCCCCACACACTATGTTCTTTTTTTTCTATTTGCTTTTTTTCTCCGGTACCTACCCCTCTTCTTCTAACCATTGATTAGCCTGCCCTTCCGTCACTTCTTCACTTCCTTAAGACTCCTCAAGACTCAAGTCCACAAATCTTCCAACCAAAAAAGCATCTTGTATCTGGCAATTCTATTCCTTGCTATATTTGATTATTTCTTTTTACCCATCCTTTACTTCAGACTACTCTGTCCTAATGGCTACTTTATCCCTGTCTCTTCAATTGTAATTTCTCCTTCTCCTCCTCCCTGTCTCTCTCCTTTCCTTCACTCCTCCTTCTCCTCCTTCATCAAATCTTGTTTTATCACTGGCTTGGTGTCATCCTTCTTTCCTCTTGACTTTTGTAGGCAGGAATTTATTGGAGAAACCTCTCTGGACCAGCTGCTGGGGATCCAAGCTAAAGATATCCAGTGCCTGCTTACTCAGGTGGAGCAGCAGCTAAATGAAAACCTGACTTTGTCATATAGAGACCAACAACCTACTTTTTTTTTAGACATATCAATGGCTGGTAAACCTGAGACCCTTGTCAAACAAATAGTCATACCTGAAGAGATCACCAAACCAAAGAAAAGAAAGACATATGTTCAAGCAAAAAGAAGAGAGTTTAGTATGTATGGGGTAATATATGGGGTATATTTGGGTCCCACCTCAGGGTACCAAAAGACAGGGTCAGTAAGGCCAGGGTATCCAAAATGATACCAGTGGGAACATAATTACATAAAGAGATTCTTTTCCACAGAAAATAACCTTCCTGGGAAAGAAACACGTATACCACAACAAATACCAATGTCTTATTTCTTTAGGATATGAAAGCTGGGATAAAATGGCAAGCATTTCTGTACCATAAAGCCTCAGTCCCCTTTGCCTTTGTACCTTTTATGGCTGTTCATTGGACTAGATATTACAAAGGATATCACTCAGAACTTCTTTTTTTTCTTTACTATTTTTCTCCCAATATCTCTGCAGTTAAAAAGGACCTGAGAGTTTCCAGAAAGCTAAGACAGACAGAGTTTATAAAATTTAGCTCTATGTTGGTGCCTTCAAAGGATGAAGATGAACAAAGAGAGGCCAGGCAATCAGAGCAGATTGACACCAGGGATGTTACCTTAGAGCCTAAACTGCGATTAAGTACTTTCAGCCCAGCCAAATCTCAAGAGGATGCTGAGTCAGAGGAGGTTGTGATGGAAGCCACAGAAGGGAGAGGCCACATGGAGGTGACAGAGGTTATGAAGGCCATAGATCAATGTGGCATGAAAGATTATGGAGAGGTGTCCCCTCAGGTGGAAAGACACGAAGGAGAAGGAGGAGGCCACATGGAGGTCACAGAGGTTATGAAGGCCATAGATCAATGTGGCATGAAAGATTATGGAGAGGTGTCCCCTCAGGTGGAAAGACACGAAGGAGAAGGAGGAGGCCACATGGAGGTCACAGAGGTTATGAAGGCCATAGGTCAACGTGGCATGAAAGATTATGGAGAGGTGTTCCCTCAGGTGGAAAGACACGAAGGAGAAGGAGGAAGCCACATGGAGGTCATAGAGGTTATGAAGGCCATAGATCAACGTGGCATGAAAGATTATGGAGAGGTGTTCCCTCAGGTGGAAAGACAAGAACTTATGAGTAGGCTTTGGAAAAGGGCACTGGAAAAAAGCCATGAAAAAGTAGCTGCGAAGTTGAAACAGGAAAAAGACTTGAAGGATATTTCAAAGACAACTGCAGAAGAGCCCGAGAAAAAAGTCATGCAGATTACTGAGCAAGAAAAATATACAAGGAAGAAACATGGAAAGAGGGACCGAGGTTTGGCTGGTATGCCTGGACGCGTGGGTAGATCAGATACCAGGTCTTGGCGGGATGACATTTGCTATCTTGTCACCTCAAGGATAGCAAATTCCCATCCAGGAATGTTAAGAGATCTGGGTCAAGAATTGGTGGACTTGGCTCAGGTGATGCTTGGTCCCCAAGAGCCCAACTGGGAACTCTTCCAAGAGATCTGCCCTCTTCTAAAGGACTCATCAGAATTGGATGAACAAGTGGTAGAAGAACCATCCATTATAACTGAAAAGGTGGATATAGAGGTTGTGGAGGAAGAAGGGACAGAATTGAGAGGACAAAGGGGCAAAAAAGCATTAAAGAAGGACAAGGCATTTTCTCAAATGAAGAAAACGAAAGTTGCTTTCTTAGATAAACTAGCCTTAGAGAAAAGGAAATTTAAAAAAGAAGAAAGGAAACTGGCCAAGCAAGAAGGGAAAACATCTGAGGAAGAAAGGAAACTGAGTATGCCAAAGAAGAAATTAATGCAGGGAAAGGAGAAACTGACCCATCAGGAAGAAAAAATAGCTTGGGAAGAAAAAATAGTGGCTTCCCCACAAGAGAAATTAACCCAGGAAGAGTGGAAGTTAGTCTTAGGAGAAAAGAAAGAGACCAGAAAAGGGGGGAAACTAAAGGAAAGAAAAAGAGTGACCTGGAAGGAGGGGAGGAGAGCAGGGGTAAGTGGGACTTGGAGAAGGGGTAAGTGGGACTTGGAGAAGATTATGATGGCCCATGGAGAAGGCATGTGGCCCCAGGAAGAGGGGTTGCCTCTCTGGGGAGAGAGGCAATTGTCCCAGGAAGAGGAAGAGCTGGGTGAGGAAGAGGAGGAACTGGGTGAGAAAGAAGAGGAGCTGGGTGAGGAAGAGAAGGAGCTGGGTGAGGAAGAGAAGGAGCTGGGTGAGAAAGAGAAGCAGCTGGGAGAGGAAGAGGAGGAGCTGGGTGAGAAAGAGGAGCAGCTGGGTGAGGAAGAGGAGGAGCTGGGTGAGAAAGAGAAGCAGCTGGGAGAGGAAGAGGAGGAGCTGGGTGAGAAAGAGGAGGAACCTTGTGAGGAAGAGGAGGAACTGGGTGAGAAAGAGGAGGAGCTGAGAGTGGAAGAGGAGGAGCCGGTTGAGGAAGAGAAGAAGCCAGGTGTGGAAGAAGAGAAACTGGCCTGGGATGCAGAGGAACTAATCCTGCACTTAAAGAAACAAGTTAAAGGGAGGAAGAAAAAGTCCCACAAAAAGAAGAAACACATCCAGGGTATAGAGAAACATGTTGAGGAAGAGATCCAGGAAAGGGGGAAATTGGCCCAGGAAGAGGAACATTTGTCTAGTGAAGAGGAAGGACTGTCTGTGGAAGAAGGAAAACAGGCATCAGAAAGGGGCAGCTTGGTAGAGCAAGAAATTAAATTGACTCCAGAAAAGAAGAAATGGTTAGGAAAGGAGATAAAAGAGGCCTATAAAAAGAAACAAATCCAAGAAAAGAAAAAACAAATTGGGAAACAGGAGAAAGAACACCAGACTAAGAAAGAAGAGAAAGAAGCCAAGGACAGATGGTTAGCCTGGAAAAGAAAGAAACTGGGCCTAGAAGAAGAGGAAAAGCTTGTGGAAAAGGAGAGAAGGGCCCAGAAAGAGGAGGAAACAACCAAGAAAAAGAGGCAATGGGCCTGGGAAAAAAAGAAAGCTGACTTAGGAGAGGAGGAACAGGCTAGGGAAATGGAGAAGTGGTCACAGGAAGAAAAGAAACAGGCCTGGAAAGAAAAGAGACAGGATCAGAAAGAGGAGAAAATGGCTCAAAAAGTGGAGAAACAGACTGAGGGGGAAAAAAAACGGGCCAGAGAAAAAATGAAACTGATCCCAGAAGAGGAAAAAAAGATAGAGGAAATTGAGACAGTGTTCCCCCCAAAAGAGAAACAAGCTAAGAAAGAGGAGAAATGGGTTGGGAAAGATAAGAAATCCATTGATGAAAAAGAACAGATCCATGAAAAAGAGCAACTAGCCCTAAAAGAGCAGAAACAGGCCCAGGAAGAGAGAATATGGCATCAGAAAGAGGAAAAAGAGAGCGATCAAAGAAAACAATGGGCCTGGGAAAAAGAGAAGTTGTCTGTAGAAGAGGAGGAACACGCTGGTGAAATGCAGAAAACGTCCCAGGAGAAAGCACTGACAAAAAGACTGACCCAGAAAGACAGTAAACTGGCCAAGGAAGAGAGGCGTATTGATAAGAAAGAAAAGGCAATAGCCAGGGAGGGAATTGGCATAACTAAGACAAAGAAAAAAACTGAGGAAGAGAAAGAAATTATGAAAGAAGAGGAATTGTCCCAGGAAGAGAGGGAACTGGCCTATGACATTAGGACCAAGGAGATGGGTGTTGCCAAGAAAAAAAGGAAACGAACCAAAGAGGAGAGAATACAGGCAATGAGGAAACTGAATATGGAGAAAGGGATTCGTTCCAAAGAAAAAGAGGCTAGTTCCAGGTTAAAAGATATAAGGAAGAGAGAGAGTTACTTGTTGAGGATCCTACCTAAAATAGTTAGAGAAAGAAGTATAGTACCACTGGAAGAAACAGAAATACCTGAGGAAGAAAGATCATCTATGATGGGGAAGAGTGGAATGGATGGCCAGAGGTGGGAAGTTTTTAAGGAAGAGAGAGAAATAATGAAACAAGAGAAGGAGCTGGATCAGGAAGAGAGAAAAGTAGAAGATGACAGACTGGCCACCAAAGAGAAAACACTGACTGATAGAGACAGCTTGGAGGAGAACCAAAGGTTATTAGAGAAGGTCCAGGGAAAGATACTATTAGATAAAGTCCAGGTAGAAAGTATATTAAAGGAAGTCCAGGAACAAAATCTGTTAGGAAAAAAGCAGCTAAAGAAACTTCTAAGGAGAATTGAGAAGAATAAATCAGAAAAAACTCAGCTAAAGTACTTATTAGAGAATATCAGAGATATCCTGTTTGAAGGCTTATCTGAGAGTTTGATTGAGGAGGAAATAAAAGAAGGTCCAACAACGAAGGGGAAAGAGGAGGAGGGCATCACTGAGGAAGGAGAAGAGGAAGAAATTTTGCCCAGGAGAGAGAAAGGGAAATATTTGATTAGGAAGAAGAAAAAGAAGGCAAGCCTGAGTGAAGAGGAATTGGAGGAGAACTTGGATAAGAAGCATAAGAAAGAGAGTTCAACCCAAAGAAGGAAAAAGGAAAAGAGGTTGACTCAAGAGAAAGAGAGGCTGAGTAAGAAGAAAAAGGAGAGCCCACATGAGGAGGAGGAGAGCTTGACTGAGGAGGAGGAGGAGAGCCTGAGTGAGGAGAAGGAGGAGAGCCTGAGTGAGGAGGAGGAGAGCCTGAGAGAGGAGGAGGAGAAGAGCCTGAGTGAGGAGGAGGAGAGCCTAACTGAGGAGGAGGAGAAGAGCCTGAGTGAGGAGGAAGAGGAGGAAATGGAGAAGATAGAGAAAAGAGAGGAGGAGGAGGAGGAAAAGGAGGAAAGGCAGAAGGACGAGGAGAGCAGACTTATGGAGGTGATATGCTCAGAAGAGAGAGAGTTGAAAACAGAGCTCTCCAAGGAAGAAGTGAGCTTATCGAAGCTAGCAATAGAAGATGAGGCTCTTGCTGAGAAAAGGGAAGGTACAATTAGAAGGGAAATTCCTTTTAAGAAAGAAAGATTGCTTGATGGAAAGCGAGATCCCACACGTACGGATAAGGTCATGTGGCCAACAGTTCTGAAGAGCCCTTTCAAAACACCACTCCCAGTAGCCTTGGAAAAAGAGAGAATGCCCCTGGAAGTGTTGAGAGTTCATCTGGATTTGGAAGGACAGGAAAATCAACTTCTTGGAGCATACCCTATGACAAGTTCTTGGGGAAGACAAGAGGATATGCTCTTGGAGAAAGCGAGGGGTTTGAGAATAGGCTTAGAGACCCAGATTCCAGAAGGCCTCCACAGGCCAGAGTCCCACTTCTCAGATATTATCATGAAATCACAGAAACCTGAACGTTGGCCCAAAGGTGACAGGTGGAAGTGGTTCTTTAAGTACCATGATTCTCCAGTGAGAAAAACTGAAGGCCAGGTCCCAGGGCCAGCCCCAGCCCCAGCCCCATCCCTTACTCCTATACCAGCTGAAAGGCCATGCTACTCAGAAGCAAGCTTCTCAGATGAGGACTGGATTAACAATGCCTTAATAAGACTGGAAGCAGGAGAGCAGCTTTCCAGGGACAGTTTCCATAGACTGCACCAGCTCCTCAGAGACTTCACTTCAAAGGGATACATGAAATGGATGCATCTGTGCAATCTTAAAGCCATTGCTAAACACCTAAGGCAGAACCTCGAGGTAAGTCACACAGACATATCGCAACAACATAAGAATGCTTTGAGTCCAGTGCACTTAAAAGTGATCCCTCCAATTAGAAGAAAAGAAAAAGAGAGCCGGCTAGAGCCATTCCCTATTGTTGAACCAGTGTTACCATCAGCTACCAGGAGGTCTCAAACCCCAGAAGCTCTCAATTGGCATCTCTTAGCTGAGTCCTACAGGAAGAAGCAGGCACAACAATTATCCTCTGCTGTTAAGGAGATACCGCACCTTTATCCAATCGGAAAAGATGCTCCTCCAACTGTCTATCCCTCTGTTGATAAAAAATCCCTGGACTTAATATTCCAGAAGGACTTCCAGGCCTTGAGGGATAAGGGAGAGCTCCTCAAATTTCACAAGGCAAAGAGGGACACACTGTCCATACCTTCACCGGTGTTACCATCAACCACCAAGAGGATTCGAGTCCCAAAGGCTATAAATTGGCATCTTTTAGGAGAACCTTACAGGAGTGCACGGGTAAGGCAACTATCCAATGCTCTCAAAGAGATGGAAATGAAACATTTCTATCCTGCTGCAAGAGAGATTTTCACAGGTGCCCATGCCTCTGTGGACAAACAAACTCTAGCACTGATGTTTCAGAAGGATCTGAGGGCTTTTAAGGGAAAAGACAGACCCCTCACATTGCCCAAGTTGAAGAAGGCACAGCCCATCTCTAAAAAAAAGGAAGAGGTGCCTCAATGGGAGACATTTGTGGCACTGTACCATGTTTTGCAGATGATGCAACAACAATATGCAAAAGACAGCACTGCTTGGATGGAACAGTTTTACCAACTCATGGATCTGTACAAATTTAAGTCCCCTCAAATCCAGAGGCTTCTACTAGAGTTGCTGCAGAAAGAGGAACTCCAACCCCAAGAGATCATGTACAAAAAGGCCCTGAAAACTCAGGAGCTGGTACCTGGTGAACGGTTGTTCTGTGGCTTGTTTTGGGGTCATTCCCATGCCCCTGCAATTCCTCTCAAGTTCCATAACATTGTACCTTTGCCTGGGAAGAGCAGGGTGCATACTATCCAACCTGTGGGTATCGCCCAGTATGGATTCCTAGAACTTGCCTGGAAAAACCTACCACAAGTCAATTCTTACTTTATTGACAAGCCGCCCAACATCCCTACTCCTACTCTATGATTTGGCCTAACATTAGGACTTTGGGGTCTTGGTGGGAAATAAGCCTGGCAATGGATTTTAAGCCTCCTTCCCTTTTCCCCACTTCAAGGTGCGGCTAGACAAGGACTTGTACTCATTTAGTTCCAGAAACTTGCTACCTTGTGCTGAATAAAATGACATTTCTCATTTGTAACAATATTTTGGCTTATTTCTCTTCCTCCCCAAGCCTAGAATCCCCATGAGAAGACAGATAACCTTTGTCCTAACAGGGCCAATTGCTTTTTCAGTCAGTGGGGTACGTCCTTTGGATGGTAGGGGCCAGCATTTGATCTTTTTTTTTTTGATCAACTTTTGATAGATAAGTCTGTCCATGGGCTCTTTTCTTTGGTTTGTATTTCCTTCCTCAAAGGTTCCTAGGGGGAGAATGGTACAGTGGGGCTTTTATTTATTTAGCATTAATCTGAGAGGAAGCAGAGAAGACCCATAATTTTGCCCCTTCACAAACTTTGATCTAAAATTCCTGGACGTCTCTAAACCTCAGTGTTCTCATCTACATAATGCGAAAATAGAATGAAATAATGATGGAATGCCAATTTTGAATTTGGAAGAACTCTCATTCCAGTTCTTTTTTCTGCCATTTATTAGCTCTTTAATCTTAGCTTTTGGTTTCCTCAAAGTAAAATGGTGATAATGATGCCTACCTCAGTGAAACACTTAACACAATTCCTGGAATATAGTTCTCTTTTTCTAATGGGTAGCTATTTTAATGGGAGATGTAGCTATCTTAAGTGTGTAGATGAAAATAGGAGGTCTAGGATTCAAATAGGATTTGAATCCCTGCCTTTAAAAAAAATTTTTTTTTAATTTGTTTATTTCAGAGACAGAGACAGACAGAGATAGTAACAGAGATCAAGAGTGAGTGGGGAGGAGAGGGAGAAGCAAGCTCCCTACTGAGCAGGGAGCCCAACATGGGGCTCAATCCCAGGACCTGAGCCAAAGGCAGACACTTGACCGACTGAGCCACCCAAGCGCCCCGAATCCCTGCCTTTCAATTTGACATGTAATCTTGAGCCAGTGATTTCACCTCTCTAAGCCTCAGGTTTTGTTTTTTTGTTTTTGGTTTTTTTTAATTTTTCAATTGTTTACTTTATTCTAATTCTCAGTTTTATCATGTGCAAATGAGGCTCATTGAGAGGCCCAAATGAGATTCTGAGTATGCCTATTTTAGTGTACTGGGAACATAGGAAAGGAACTGAAGGCTAGAGGAGGGGCCTGGGACCTCAAGGGAGTTTGAGGGTACCTTGGGAGAGGGAACAGAGCTCAAGGAGAGAGTCTGCAAGAGCAAGGGAGAAGCTAGAGCTTGAAGGAGGTGTTTGGAAGCCCAAGAGAAGATCTTGGGCATCAGAAATCAGACTCCTGAGGGAGGTGACAAATTCTGAGGAAAAAGTTTTGGTAGCCCAGGAGATCAGAAGCTTGGGAATATGGAGAAGAAACTCTGGAGCAGGAGACAGATTTCAGGGGAGAGGTCTGAGAGCCAAAGGGAATAGATGGAGTTGACAATGTACAGAAGCTAATAAGTTCTGGGAGAGACCCCATGCTCAGCAAAGGCATAAGACAGAAGAGCAGAAGAAGCAGATTTTGTGGTTAGAGGAGCCAGGGAGCCCTTGAAAGGAGGAGCCAGAGCTTAGGCGAGATGCCTGGAAGCTTAAGAGAAAAGCCAAAGTGCAAGGCAGAAGGGTTTAGGAGAAAAGGGAAGAACCATAACTTTGAGAAGCTGCAAGCTTCCAGGGAAGGAGCAAGAACACAGAGAAGCAGTCTGCAAGGTCAGAATAAGTTGAGTAAGTCTAAAGATTTAAAACATACACCTATATGAGTTAATTCCCTCATGTAAAATAATAAGAAAAAATATATACACATACACATACACATATAAAGTCTTTGCCTCTGGTTCCTGCTAATATTTGGTCTTAGACCTGTTTGTGACACAGAACTCCTAAATCCCTTGGAATCTCCTGGGAGATAGGAGTGTCTTTTGTTCTAATATGGTGACTGTTGGTGGACTCCTAGAAAGGGCTGGTCACTAGAAAGACCAAGCCATGTATAAAAGCTTGGAACATTCAGCCACGTCTCCCATCCTCTAAATAAGGGCTGGAGAAAGAGTTAATGATCCATCATGCCTACATGATGAAGCCTCCATAAAAAAATTCCCAAAAGTATGGGGCTCAGGGAGATTACCAGGTTGGTGAACACATTTATATGCCAGAGGCTGGTGCACCCCAACTCCATGGGACAGAAGCTCCTGCACTTAGGACCCTTCCACACCTCACCCTATGTATCTCTTTATCTGACTGTTCATATGAATGCTTTAAAATATCCTTTGTAATAAACCAGCAATAGTAAGTAAACTGTTTTCTTTTGTTGTGTGAGCTGTTCTAGCAAATTACTGAATCTGAGGAGGGGATTGTGGGAGCCTGCAAATTCTATCGAAGTCAGACAGTTCTGGGTAACCTGGGTACCAACTACCTCTGATTAGGGTCTGAAGTGGAGGGCAGTCTTCTGGGACTGAGCCCTTAACCTGTGGGATCTGTGCTGACTCTAGTTAGTGTCATAATTGAATTGAATTACAGGACACCAAATTCATATTTGAGAATTGGTCTGTGTGGGGAAAAAAACCCCACACATCTAATGTCAAACATGTTGTCAGTGTGAGTAAAGAAAAACATATTGAGTTTTTCCTATACAACACCCCCCCCATAAAATATCTCCTCAAATATTCTATTTCCAGAAGAGGGAAAAACAAGATGAAAGGTATTAAATGTTTAGTTTAAAGAGCTGGAAAGGGCCATATGGAAATACTTTACCTTAGCCTGGGTGGTTGTTACAGGGGTGTATACAATTGTTAAAATTTGGTGAAGAAACTGAGCTTGACTTATTTTTATCAACAGATACAATTTAAAAAATTATTTTAAAATGTGGTAAATGATACATAACAAAATTTGCTATTTTGGCCATTTTTAAGTGTACAGTTTAGTGCATTAAGTACATTCACATTGTTGTGCAACCATCAACAGCATCTGTCCAGAGAAGATTTTTCATCTCGCAAAACTAAAACTCTGTTCCCATTATATAATAACTTCCCATTTTCTCTACTCCCCAACTCCTGGCACCTACCATTCTACTTTTTGTCTCTATGAATCTAAGTACCTCATATGAGTGGAAACTTAAAGTATTTGTCCTTTTGTGGCTTATTTCACTTAGCATAGTGTCTATGTCTTCAGGGTTCATCTGTTGTAGCATGTGTCAGAATGTACTTCCTTTTTAAGATGGAATAATATTCCATTGTATGTATATACCACATCTTATCTATCCATTTATCTGTTGATGGGCACTTGGGTTGCTTCCACCTTTTGGCTTTTATGAGTAATGCTGCTATGAACATGGGTGTATAAATATCTCTTCAAAATCTTATTTTTTTTTTTTTTGGTATATGCTCAGAAGTGGAATTGCTGGCTCATATGGTACTTCTACTTTTATTTATTTATTTATTTATTTTTTTTTTTTAATTTTTTTTTTATTTATTTATTCATGAGAGACAGAGAGAGAGAGAGAGAGAGAGAGAGAGAGAGAGAGGCAGAGGGAGAAGCAGGCTCCCAAGGAGCAGGGAGCCCGATGCGGGACTCGATCCCAGGACCCTGAGATCATGACCTGAGCCGAAGGCAGACGCTCAACCATCTGAGCCACCCAGGCGCCCCTCTACTTTTATTTATTTAAAGGAATTGTCAATTGGTATAATCTTAAAAATACCATTAGGGTTCATTCTAGTGATCGTTTTCTGACTTTATGCAGTAATCTAAATGTATTTCACAAACTTTGAAATAAAGTATAAGGCTCCTTATGTGTATTTTGTTTTTATTGTTTCATTGAGGTGTAATTAACATGCAATAAAAGGTACAGATATTAAACTTTCAGTTCACCAAGTTTTGACAATTGTATACACCCCTATAACAACCACCCAGGCTAAGGTAAAGTATTTCCACATAGCCCTTTCCAGTTTTGTGTCCATTTCCAGTCATTTCTCCAACTCCCTCCTTCAAGGTAACCACTCTTATTGCCTTTAGTTTTTCCTGTTCTTACACTTCATATAAATGGATTCATAAAGTATGTAGACTCCTGTTTGGGGCTTATTTTGCTCAATACGTTTGAGATGCATCTATATTGTGCATATCAGTAGTTTGTTCTTTAATTATTGTATGAACATACCATGATTTGTTTATTCTCATGTTGATGGATATTTGAATTATCTCCAGGTAGAGGTATTATATGAGTGAGGCTGTTATGAACATTCTTGGACAATACTGTGGATATGTTTTCATTTCTCTTGGGTACACACTTCAGGATGGAATTTAGGTTGTTTTTTTTTTTTTTTTTTAAGATTTTATTCATTTATTTGAGAGTGAGAGCATGAGAGGGGGGAGGGTCAGAGGGAGAAGCAAACTCCCACTGAGCAGGGAGCCCAATGTGGGGCTCAATCCCGGAACTCCAGGATCATGACCTGAGCCAAAGGCAGCCACTTAACCGACTGAGCCACCCATGCACCCCAAGGAATTTAGGTTCTTAAGAATATTTTCCCAAAGGGCACCTGGGTGGTTCAGTTGATTAAGCATCAGACTCTTGATTGCGGCTCAGGTCATGATCTCAGGGTCTTGGGATCGAGCCCTGAGTCGGGTTCTGCACTCAGTGTGGAATCTGCTTCTCTCCCTCTCCCTCTGCTCTTCCCCTCGCTCTTTCTCTCAAATAAACAAATAAATCTTAAAAAAAAAAAAAAGGAATATTTTCCCAAAGAGGTTGTATCACTTTATACTCCCACAGGCCATATATGAGCATTCCAGTTGGGCTATATACTTGCCAACATTTCATGTGGTCACATTCTTTTATTTCTAGTGGGCATAGATAATTTTAGTGGGCACAGGTATTTCATTGTGACTTAATGCTGATAAATTGTGTTGACCCCTTTTTCTAGT